AGCTAATGGCTTGATTGCCTGCATGTGTATTATATGAAAACACCCTGAAGGAAAAATGCGAAAATAACTACACTTTGAACACAAGAACACCAACGCCAAAAAAGGTATTTGCTTTTAAGTACTATACTGGGAAAGTTGACACTGTTTTAAATTTCGGTTGGTGAATTTATTTTCATCCAGAATACTTTATATATGAGCATAATTTCGATTTCAAAATATAGGTTTGTGACACTCTACAATCCATTCCCGAGATTTGCAGTTTCTATGTATTTAGTGTTGGAGTTGTTCTAAAACGTCATAAATGGATCGTTTAAAACATAGTCCGCGCCTTCAGTACGTGGAAGGAAGTGTCACCTTGGCCGGCATCGCTGATTTTCTCGTTGGGATATGGATATGTGAATGTGCGCGCTCGTACAAAGCGCCATGAAGCGCACAAGTAAAAATATTGCAATTGCAAATCTTAGGAGAGTTTCGCCTTTCCAACATTTCATTTCGCATTTTCTGCTCGTTTTTTATTTCTTTTCCCTTTAATGTACCTTCTGCTTACGCTTCTCTCGCCTTTCACAGTAAGTAATCCTACCGACGTTGGATTAGTGTGCGTGGGTTATATGAGTTTTTGTGTGTTTATATGTCAACGCTGATAATACTTGTTATAGAATGCCAACGGCTTAACCGACCAATACCAAACCGACGGCTGATATTCTCCCTTCACTTCCCTATCCACCGCGACAAGTGAGGACTTTGCTGATATTTCCGTTTCTGCGTGGCTTTAACTGTCCGCTACTCTCTACCACCAAAAGAAAGTAGAATTCTTCACTCTCGCCTTTCATGCGCAGTCTTTTTTCTGGTATGCGTCTGTGTCCGTTATGCGTTTCTGCATTTTTATTTGCTGTATTTACTGTCTTTCGCAACTCTGTTAAATTATTGTTCCCTTAAGTAAGTACAGACATGCCAGAACTGTTGTACTGCTGTGCTACGCGACAAACATTTTTATATTAGCCATAAAAATATGATTCCCTTTTTTACTTCTCTGCGTTTCTTTCTACTCCCATAACAATTTCAGAGTATGCTCGTACACAAACTCAAATATTATCATGTACGTGAACATACACATTGTATTGGGCTAATAACAGCAAACACCACCCGGAAGGAGCCCCCAATAGTCAGATCCATTCCTGTTCCAGGACTAAGACGAATTCTCCATACTATCATCAGTTCATGGTAACCTAAGATTAATCCAAACTGCGCGTCTAGTTTTTACAAAAACCCTTCTCCATGGATAATGAATAGGCTGTCAGAATTTCGCTTTCTGGTAGATTTCTGACCGCGTCGGACTGATTGGGACCTAGGACTCCCAGAAGGTGCTTATGTACACGGGGAAATGGAAATGAATGAGTAACATGTAACCAGTTAGGAACTAGTGCCTTCGAGGCAGGAAAAGGGTTAATTCAGTCTCATTCGATCTTATAAGAAAGTCTGCTGTATTTTACGCTAGTTGGAGTGTCTTAAAATTGTTTATGTGCAGCTTCGCTGGTCGCCATCACTTTTGCGTCAGTTAAGGCAAACAAAAGCTGTTGGGTCCCGAGCATTTCAAATGTACTCGCTTTTGCACTCACTTTAGCCAAAAGGGTACTGTTGCTCATTCACACACATACACACATGTCTTTATATACAATGGCGCTGCGCATGAAAGCATGTTTTAAATTGTATTTTGCCTTAACTATATTTTTTCCAAGTGTATGTATGTATGTATAGACATGCGCTTATTTCGTCCAAACATGAATGGCATTTGGAGTGCTGAGATTTCGGCTGTCGTGGGAGTGAAATGCTGCAAGTAATTACTTCGTATTCTACCGGCGACTGATAGCACTCAAGTACCCATTGAAGTCGGTGCGGTTTTATGGCACAAATTCTTCATAGTCTTAGATTAAAAACTTTATGCATTTTAAGACTCTTTCAAATTAATATTTTTTCAGACAAAGTGTCTATCCCTTTGTCGCTTTAAGTAATGACATCAAAATGTGGAACTTTGTTTCGTCACCAAATAAGCTTATTTATTCTTGATAGCGAACAACCATTCTTTAAAGTTGGTAATATTTTTTGTAAAAGCAAAAATATATTAAACATTTAATTACGTATGCCGAACCTGGCGCTCAGCTGTACCGAATAATATGTATGATTGTTGTTGTACGCCAACTGAAGGGTTCCAATATCTCATCGCCTTTGAATAACTCATTTTATGAGAAATGTTTCCAAGCCGTTAATATCTTTGAGAGTTTTGACATTGCCTGTTGAAGAGAGATCTCCATCGTAGAAGTAATCAAGGACTGATTGTCCCCAAAGTTGAATCGATTTTTTAGACAGTCTTGAGTCTTGTTTCCATTAATGTTATATTCCACACATTCATACATATAACGAACCCTCCAACACATTGTTTCTTTTTGTTCAAATTAATTTCGAAGAAAGCTGATATCCTGATGAAAAGGGACAAAATGAAACATCAAGAAGTCGAAAATCAGAGTCTGAGGATGTATTCGAGGTTCTAAGGTATCGAAAAAATACTGGTTCCGTTTTAGTCAGTCAGTCGTAAAGAAATAATGAAGCAATCATGATTAAAATAAGATAACCCTGCCACTTTAAAAATACAACTAAACAGCATTGTCTGCATCTAATTAGCATTATACCAAATGCAAAAGTATTTGAGAATGTGTAAGGACTAATTTTTATAATATTTATGAGCAATATTTCCTCGCGTGAAAATAATTCCATACTCAACAAGTACTCTCAAGGAAAGCTCATGGTAATGGGCAGGTTGTTGGAAAACCCCAAATTGATATACATTGAAAACTTGGCGGTAATAGAGCTAAATATTAAGAAATTGAAATGAAAAAAAAACAAGTAAGCAAGGGCTAAGTACCTTCAATTAATTAATTTTATAAATATATATGTAAGTCATACACTGACTGACATATTGAGCATTGAATTTGTTAGAATAACGAAAATCATTATATGTGGTACATGAGGCTACTTTTTTTTATTGTATTCAGTAATGTTTACAATTTCAGCGTAAAAAGTTATACGCAAGAATAACGTTTACAAGGTGTTCAATTTTATGATTAAAATAATCGTTCTCCAATTCCAACTTTTCGTGCGCTTTTGCCATTTTATGAAGAAAATCCACAAACTATTCATGAACAACTATTACATTCACCTAAATTGATAGTTTCGTGTGATTTTTGTTCTGGTGGAATCATCGGTCCGTACTTCTTTCGCAATGAAGCTGGTCCATGGAGAGCGGTATAGAATGCTAACCAACTTTTAATGGCCGCAATAGGAAGATGTTGATCTTTTTAACAAATGGTTTCAACAAGACGGGGCTATGTGCGACATAGTACCTGCAACCACCGAATTATTGAGAGAAAAGTTTGGAGATTCGATAATTTCAAGGAATTGTGAGATTGAACGGCCTCCAAGAAGTTGTGATTTAACATCAGTAGACTACTTCTTGCGGGGTTAGTCTTTAGCAATAACCAGACTCTCTTCAAGCTTTAGAAGTCAATATTCAACGTGCCGTTCATGACATACGACTTGATTTAGTGGAAAAAGTACTCGAAAACTGTGTTCATCGAATTCGTTCCTGCAAAAGTAGTCGTGGAGGCCATTTGATGTTATATTCAGAACATAATTGTATCGATTGTACTTCATACTAATTAAAAAACATTTGAATTTCCTTAACAATTAGTGTGTTTTTTTTTAAAGAAATCATAACGCTCTTATTGGAAAACCTTGTACGTCCAATATTATTCGTTCAGTTAAGTTTGTTAAGATATTTATGGTATAAAGCCAATCAAAAGTTGGAAAATCTTGCATTTTTGCCATGACCACAGAAAAATATGATCTCTGAGTTTTATTATTACCTAGGGCAAGTTTTCATCCGATTTTAACTATTTTATTCACAAAGATACATACATTGATATTAGAGAAACAGGTTCTTTCAATTTCATTGAGATAACTCACTTGTTGACCCATATTTGCGGTATAAAGTCAGCCGGAAGTTCGAAAAATCTTCTATTAGGTGTATGGGGACTACAGGAATTATTGCTCCAGCTCAACGTTTTTGGCACACGGGCATATCAATATCAGATAAAGATTCTCTCATCTAGCGGGAGAGAGCCTAATAAACGAAGCGATTATGAGACATATCCAAAAGTAGTAGGAAAATTGTAATAAGACCCCTGCGGAGGACCAAAAAAGCGTATACATTTTTCTCCACAAACATTTGTGGTATCACCACACTTTAAAATTTATTGGCATAGACTTTCATATGCTAATATTCCGAACAGCAGGCGGAAGCTGACACTGTGGTAGGGTTGAAGAGAGCTGGTTTGCCGACCTGGTGGCCCGCTCACTTCCATTGTTTAATTTTTAGCTTCTGCTGCTCACACGCTGAGCACAAATGTGACGTCCAGTTGAAAATTTTATTTTTATTCATAATGCATTGCCATTCTTGCCTTGCAATGTTGTGTTATTTTCGAGTGCCCCGTCATCTTGCTGCATTTTCTATATTTATTATATTCGCTCCTTCATATCCGAATCGTTTTTCTTCAGCCACTTCCTGCGTATTTCAAGGCGATTTCCGTGCTTCATGCTGCGCTTGACAACGTTTCCTGCACTGCAGTTTTGCACTAGCCAACTCAATGTTCGTAGTTTTACAGTTGCTTAGCCAAGCGCGGCCGCAATTTGAGATTCTATTTGCATTTAGCGCAGCAAGACAACTAGCCAATGAGCCAACAAGTCTCAAGTGCCGGACCGTTTGCTTTTTGCTGTGCAGAGCCTTTTCATTTATTCATATTTCTTTAGAATTACAAAGAATTGCGAATTGATATTTAATAGTAATTCGTGTGGTTTTTGATATATATAGGTATATATATATATTTCCTCAAATAAACTATTTGTCTTTTGTTTTTTAATGTTTGATATTCGAATTTCTCTTTTTACAGATGCCACTTTGGCCGAGGTCTTCGACACACATCTGCGCGGTCCCGGCTTCGTGATGGAGCCGCCCGGTCGGGTTGAATTTTCCAATTCGTCTGGCGGTTGGCTCGACTGCTCGGCGTCCGGCAGCCCACAGCCCACCATCGACTGGGTGCACGCGGACGGTACTGCAGTCTCGGAAATCCACGGCGTGCGACGCGTACTGCGCAACGGCACTTTGGTGCTCTTGCCATTTCCGGCGGCGGCCTACCACCAGGACGTGCACAATACGATTTACCGTTGCATCGCCAGCAACAATGTAGGGCGCATCGTGTCGCGCGACGTGCAAGTGCGTGCCGGTGAGTAAACTAAGCAATCACTTTTTTACTTCGATAAGGTTATAAATCATAACCATAAGCCAAATAAATTCGTATGTGTGAATGACAAAGAATATTCGCCACTGGGAACTTCTACGTAGGTATGACTGCAGGTGATCGAAGATGAGATTGCGCACGTCGAGTTCAATGCCAAGCATGTGAAGTGTAGCAGTCGTGTCAAAGCATAATAGGAATGTTCTCAATTGTCGTTATGTACGAAACGACGGTGAAATGTCATAACTTTTACACACATACATATATATTAAAAAAGCAAGACATATTTCCTTTGAGGTAATACCAGTAACACCGAGTTATGACATAAATAAAAACGATGTTTTATGGGGTTGCTGAAACTTCATTCACAAAGTAGTATTCCACGATCTCAAGCCAAAATTTCAAAACCAATTTTTTTTAACAAACGTTTGGGAAAACAGGTTTAAGTTTTTTACATAATGTAAAGTATTGTTGTTTTATTGATAAAAAATGTGAAAGATGAATACACATGCTTCCCCCCCAAGATATAATTAAATTTTTTTGATATATAATTATAAGAACTAAAGATTATTGAAGAAAAACCCAAAAAGGAGGGTAAATATAATTTTCAAAACCGCGCTTTTTTTGGAGTTAGTACTGTTAATAAAATATTGATTCAAAATACAATTAAAGTTCGAAAAAATCAGAAATATATATAAAATGTGTAAAAATATCGCGAGCGATTAAGATATTAAGTTAGTTTACTAGGGGAAAAAGCTCTTTCAAGGTAGTTAAGCGTTTAAGATGTTCGTTTTCTCATTTCTAAAAACTCTGGCGTTCCATTAGTAGAGACTTTTATAGGGGAAAAATAAAATGAAAAAAAACAGACTCGATGCAATGTCTAAACTGAACAGCAGAGTAAAACTCACCGTTGATTGCTATATCTTGTATACTCTTTTTTAATAAATGTCAAAAGTGACTGCAAATGCGAGCATTTTAACAGCATAACTAACTGTAATTCGCCTTGTTGCAGTTGTTGCGCAGGCATACAAAGTAGATGTCGAGGTGCTGTCTGCCGCCCGAGGATGCACCGCCATACTGCGCTGTGTCGTGCCGACGTTCGTTAAGGAATTGGTGCGAGTGGTCTCGTGGGTTCATGAACCTGCTATCTACATCTACCCATCTCTGCAAGGAGGTAAGTCAAAGCAAGAGCATTTTCAGTTTATTCTTTCCTTGTTTTCCTTGTCCTTTATCAAAGCACTAGGACTTATGCGCGCAACGAGCTTAGAATATCGTCGTGTAAAGTTCGCAAAGTGTGCATTTTTTGTTAAGATTTGACAGTGAGTGCAACCAGTGAGCTCGACTAGGCATTAAAGGCGAAAATGTGATTATTCGCGAGAGTGACAAAAAATTAAAACCGGAGGCGAGCAGCAACACTTGTGCGTACGTTATCCTTTCAGGTGTGCCAATGGGTGTTCGGATGAGGTGTTCTGCATTCTGATTCTGTCAAGGTGTAAACTGTGATTTTCTTGACGGCCCTTACAAGCAACAGCATTCTGTGGCAGCTCAACATTCAAGATATTTGCTCCCAACTCTTAACCATTTTCTTACCTTTCTTGATCAAAATTTAAATACTTTATCATTTTCTTATGGAACATTGCATTGGCCATTTTGTCGAGTCGATGAAAATTACCTTAAACATTGATTAAGCAGATGAATAAAATATGAGGCAATTAATGAAACAACCTCATAACTTCTTCCATAGATGGCAAATTTCACCTATTGCCCACCGGAGAGCTGCTCATTCACAACTTGCAGGAGAGCGATGAATCGCAGTCGTTTCGCTGCCGCAGCATGCACCGTTTGACGCGTCAAGTGGTCGTCAGCTCACCAACCCGTCTCAGGATAAATTGTGAGTAGTTCGATCTTTCGATTTATATATCTAAATATTTCAGTTATTTTCGTTGTTTTTGCTTTAATGGAATTTTTAATTAAAACGCTTCAATAATTAATTTAATTTTTTTGTACGACTTTTTCTGGTAATAATTACGGTTTACATAAGCTTTAATTTTAAAGTACAAAGCCGAAAATGTAAATTAATAATACAGGAAATTTCACATATGTTTGTGTGTGTGTATATGCGTGTGCATAATTTTCGTTTAATTTCAGCGTCACTAATTAGCTGCTTTTTTGAGCAACTTGGCCACAAATTCGTGCGTCGAATATATTAATTGAATAAATTTATAATTTGAACGCATGAACACACTCAACGAATTGGAATAAAATCGCATTGCTGTATTTTCTTTTGTTTGTAATTTTTTGTATTTGTTGCATTTCTATTGAGCGGCGTTGAAAGCTTTCATGAAACAAAACCGCAAACGCATAAATTATTTTTTAACACTCACGATTTTAAATTAAAAACGAAAATATTTGCAACGGTTTTGTTATTTACTTATGCTTCCACACACATACATTAGTAGAATTTTAACTAATGACCAATTTTGTGAACTTCCTGCCAAATTGTGAGACCTCAATGTCCATTTCCGTTATGAAGACCGAACCTTCGATCATTGGTAGAAATTCATTTGAATCGAGTAAAACCGATTTATACTAAAAAGATCAGAGTACATCCATCTACCTCTTGGAATGTGTTGAAGGACAAGCTTCATCTGCATGCTAGACCCGGACACGTTTTTTTTTATTTTATACTTAATCTTTGTTGTGGTATTTATTTGTATACTATTTACAGTTCTGTAGTATTACCATAAAATAAGTAAGTTTCCAAGTTCTGGTTGGATCAAAGTATCTTGGTCTCCTTTATTAACCAGTGATAACACTTTGAATTACCATTTCTTATCACCAAACTATTGGAATATTTTTAGCTCACCGTGGCATCATTTCACCGAGTGTCGTCGAACATACTTCCCATGTACAAGTTTCACAAGATGAGGGTGCTGTTCTGTTATGCGTAGCTCAGGGATGTCCATCGCCGGAGTACAAGTAAGTAAAATGAGAAGGCTAACTGGCTAACCCAATCATTTTTATGAAAACCAGTTGCCGTTCCAAAAGCACTCCAAAATACACATCTGCTTTTCAAGTAAAGCACATCAATAATAAGATTTATTGAAATTTTTAAGAAAACCGCAAACGTACTTATATTTTTCAAATATCTACAAGCAAAATTAAATGAAATTCATTTCTAAACCAAGCAAAACCAAAAAAAAAACCTTAAATGCAGATCCAAAAACATTACATAGCTAAAATCAACCTGCGCAAAAAAAAGATACACTTTTAATAGGATATATTTGCAGTCTTTCCTTTCGTAGACTTCTTAGAATTTCCTGCTGGACTGGTATATTCTCCGACGCAATTTTTTGATATTTATTTATAAAGTTTCTCTCGACTGAATCACGGTGGGGTGCGAAGTATGGTTCACTTGAGGAATTCATGCAATTTCGCTTTACAGACGCCTCGCACAGGCAAAGGCGAAGCTGTGACAAGCAGCGCCTATTAAATGTAATTAGTTTTCTAAAAAGCAAGTGCGTGAGACACGAAGACATGAAAACATAAACTTCAACTTACAAAACACGCCAGTTAATGAAACTCACAAGGCTAGCCAACCACAGCTTAGCTGCAACACATAAATAAGTAAGTAGCCAAGTGACGCGCATTGTGCCACCCATTAACGCGGCCTAGCAAACGGACGGAAGGACGCCACCGGGCAAACAAAATACGACTATGTGAAAACGACGTCGTTGTTGTTTGTAGTGTTGTGCTGTTATGGGGCTCGTAGACGCGTAGAGAGCGTTGCTAAAATGAGACATTTGTCACATTCATTTTAATAAAATAATGAAATTGACGCACGAAAAGTAATAAAAAGCATTTGTGTTTTATTAAAACCACAGAATGAGTAGGCAGCCAAGCAACAAGGCGGTTCTAGAGCTTACGCGAAGAAATATGCCATACATAGAGAAAGGCAGAATAATCGCAAACGCAATGAAGTAAGCTTTTGTTGTAGTTGAAGATGACATTGTACAGGGAGGCGGTGGAGTTGCGTGGTGAGAAGTCATAGCACTATTGAGACCACTATTATGATTATGGCTCAATCTGCCAATGAATAAGTGGTTGTTCTTATTAGCAGTATTGGCAAGAGTCGAGTTAAAGGACTTGTAGTCGTACATATATTTTTTTTAGTGAATGTACGTAAAAATGGTTGGGAAATGCACCATTAAATGCCCGAACTTTTTCTAGTTTAATTAAATAACCCCCAGAAATTTATTTTCGTGAAAAGTTAGCAACAATTAATGCCTGTTATTTCATTCTCATCCAACATACCACAATAAATTGATAATTTTTAATAGCTGCTTTGGAAAACTTTCGAATATACCATTTCGATTGCAATATACTGTTATAACTGACATATGTCTGAATTAAGTCACTGAATTTCGATACGCGATTATATTTCGACTTCGACACTTTGCTTCGTGTAAATGTGCATCGGATAGTGCGAATATAGAGAAACGCGATGGGTATAATATAAAAGTCGAGCTTTGTTGTTCTGCTCTAACGGAAATGTAACAGTAATGGAGAAATGCCGTTACAGAATTTTTTTGCTGCTGAAGTTTTATTGCTTCTGGTGACAACAACGCATATTCGATGCGAGTGGTTTCACACAACAAAACATGGAATGGGTGGAGTGCTTACTTAAGGTGGCCAGGAAAATAGGAAATGTAAGAATTATTGAAGTATTGCGGATTCCTGGTCCCAACGCGGCCGTAAACACCAGCAACACCACGACTTGCATTGACTGTGGCGAGGAGCCATTAACGAAAGGATAGTGGAAAATGTGAGACACCACCAACAACAAAACAAATGTATACACATTACACACATACATAATCACAGACGAAGCATACAAACATATATATTTAAACACTAAAAGTATTGTGCGTGCGACATGGCTGAGTGTGATAGCATATTCCATCTTCCCCATACTACTTGAAAGCTCCTTAAATAGCAGATCTGTATGCGGGCGATGTCCAATGAGCATGGAGTCGTTCGAGCGCAGAGTATAGATGCGCTCGAGCGTGACGAGCACGCACACACTTAAGATTTACGCAGAGCTTGATCTGGACATCAAATGGACTTGACAGTGTGAAAGAAGTGAAGAATAGCATTATTGACTAGCGAGGAGATGCTGAGGAGAAGAACCAAGTTATTCCGCAAAGTAAGCTTACAAAAGCACAACAAATAATTCGAAATGTTATTTTAAGAGCTCGAACTCAGGCACAGGAACAGACGTGAATTCTAACAATGGCAAACACACTTCCATAATATCTATTACATGCGCCAGAAGTCCGCATATGTTATTCCACATGTGCTGAATGGTACTTGATAGCTGCTTGATTCGTAGCTGAGGCATGCGTGTTCCCTCTTGTGCACTTGGCTACAAGGCAAAAGTTCGAACCACTAATTGTGTTGCAGCAATTGCAATTAGCTTGCGAGCGGTGGCATGCAACCACAATACTTACAGCGTTCAATTAATGAACAGTAAATTTACAAGTGTTGTTTGGAATAAAGACCCAACTACGCTTTTGTCATACTTATGTTACGAGTGGAGAATCTGAAGCTGTATAGTAGTCTCTAGTAAAGATATAAACTCCAGCAGAACTGTTAAGCTTCTAAGCAAGGCGAGTGGTATTTTACACAGAAAAAAGTATTGGAAAACTTCTGGAGACCCATCATTGACGATAGATATCAGTGAATGCATTTTGTAGCCTGAACTTCCACTTTAAGATTCTTTTTGGAAGACTATATAGCAATTAACTCAATGAAAGGTAACTTTCCGGAATAAATAACTTTAGAGCATTCTTCAAACTAGTAAACATGCTTAACGGTATATATATAAACCGATACTTTTGATTCAAGCCAATTATTGGCTTCATAGTTAGTTTTTAGGTAGGAGACTATTCTGGTACCCTTAATTATGTAGGGGTTCATTCGTTCTCTAGCAATCCGAAATAGTTTCAGGGATACCACAGAAGAGCGAATGTTTGTAAAGAACTGTGCACATTCTTTTTCCCATCACTCCTAAATCCACACCAGTTTATACCTAGTAAATAAGTGAGCTTATGTATCTATAGCCATATATTATATGTATAGGTGAATGTTCCTTGCCAATTTCTTTCGTATATGCTTCTTACTTTTATACACCGCGACGGCGACCAGCTGCAAAGGACACAATATTAATGCGACCTGTCGTGTTGCTGCTAAAATAGCGTCGAAGCAATTGCCTGGGAATAATAAAAAAGGTGCACTACCAAGAGGGTTTCAACGCAATGAAATATGAATGGAAACATAGTGGCAAAATCGAGCAAACACACACGCTTATAACATAAGTGCATGTCAGTTCCTTAAGTTTTCACATGTTTACACACTGAAAATGTCAAATAGTAAAAGAACACTTGCAACACTTACCTGCATATTATGTCTTCAAAATATATGAGTGCTTCGATTTCTATAAGACATAAAATAAAAATAGTTGAACTTTTGGGTTCATAATTGAGAGATGCTGGAGTACATAGATATATATGAAAATTAAACATTAAGAAACCGCTCAAGCTGCTTAACGCACTTAGTAATTACATTGCATTTTACTATTTGACTATTTTGTGTGAAAATAGACGAAATTGCGTAAAATTACAAAAAGTTTGGGGTGTATCTACGGAAAAATGTTAGAAATGTTAAATATAATAGAAGAATCGATCGAGCTGCAAGAATTAGACAGTAGGAGTGACATTGCCCACATTTAATTGAAAATTTGTATCACACGTACTACTTGACCGATTTGAATAAAAATTGGTTTACAATAGCATTCGGTGAAGATTCTTGCTTGACATCTGTATAATTTAATGTTCCTACGCTTGACTTTATCAGGTATACTTATGTAGAGCTTTTCACTTATTTTCTTATATTTACCATAAATAAATGATAGTACTAACATTGTTGCTGTTTTCTTGTGATCGGGTTTTGCAAAGTGGAGCAATGTGCTCACCTTCGCACTGCCTGTTTAAATAATTGCTTGTATTTAGAGCAATATCACTCGCCTGCCATGCTCAAGCCTTTCAAAAGTAATGCCATTTAGCACATTCGCCGTACGCATCAGCAATTCATATCTTTAATTTATTACGCATACTGTGCGGTGTGAATTACAAGCACAAATGCAAATCTGCCTGCTCTACCTATGCGGTCACCAATACCACACCCAAGCAAGCATGTGCACACATAAGTAAGCACCCTACAGTCAAACATCAAACTAGTCATTAAATGTAGCAGTTTACAACTAGAAACTCCTTTCGGAAATCCAACTAGGCAGATAAGCTTGCTTATTCATTATTTTTATTTGCAAATACTTTTATATTTTTTTGACCTGCCTTGCGATTGGTATATTTCTGATCGAAATTCGACAACTACAAGATATATAAAGAATATGAATTTCTTGAATGAAAAGGACACAGTCGGCTGACCAATTGGCCTTGTGATTCAAACTAGTTGGCAACTAGTTGAATCGGCTGTAGGGTACTCGTAAATGCTTCTGCAAATGCGCATTTGTATTTGGCATTATGAACGTGTTTGTAATTTACGCGGCCTGTCTGGGTAACATTGCGGTTTGGCAAATACATTTAGTTGCTGCTCTCCTGCAGCAGAAGAAGCACACTTGTAGGCGGTTGTGGGCTTCTATTTATGGCAAGGCCGCAGCCTTACGTGCACGTGAATGTTGGGGGCGGATTCGTGCTGTTTAGGCAACTTCATAAACCATCAAGCACCGACCAAAAAACAAGCAACGTTTAATTAAGAAATATCACCGCATTAATCTCCTATTCACACATACACTCACATTGACGCACTCAAGCAGCATTTGCACTCTCATGTGGGCATACAGATGGACTCGTATTTATGAAGATGCATATACTTATATTTCCACTAACAAATATTTATAC